AAGTAAATCCCTTGCTATTTGTACATTATGGACCTGATGAAACCATTTTTACAAAGGAGAAATTCCACTGATGTTAGTTTGATTGATTTGAATTGAATAATGGCATAAGATTTGAATAATGAAACCTGGTTAGGGGGCTAGGAAGGCAGCAGTGATTCCATAACACAATTCCTGTGTGTGGATGTAAATTCATCTACTGGCATACTGTGAATTGTGGTTCTGATTTGGGGAAGGAGAAGTCAGAGAGCATAAAGCTAGTTCCCACTGGAAATCCACCATGAAGTTAACCCTGTGATCTGATTTGTTTTCTGGGTTATTCAAAAGGTGAATTGAGATCCATAGTATACTAAGGATAGATTGCATAAAAAATGTAGGGGAAAAAGTAAAACCTCTAGTAAGTGTCTAGTAAAATGACTCAAATTTTAACCTTTTAAAATGCAGACTTCAGTAGAATTAATCCAGAAATTATCATGCCATGCTGTATACCTCTGAGGAGTTTCTGCGCTAATGTCTGAATGCTATGATCTTTGCACTATACTTCATAGGTGCCAAGTACATGTTAACTGTTGAGGGAAAACCCTTCAAATTGTGCATTAAGTGTTACAAAATTCAGATTTTTGTCTTTTGGGGCTGGAAAACTTATAGTGTATACAATTATTTTATTGGAGGCAAATTACAGAATTGTATTGGAATATTATGGATTAACACAAGAATTTAAAAAAATACAGTTGATTCAGACTTCTCAAATATGAGATTAAAATATGAAATAGCTACCTCTGCTTTTAGTTTTATTTAGGATTGGAGACCGATAGAAATTTTCTAAAGGTTGTGGGTGCATGCTGCCCAACTATCCAGAGGAAAAAGTGGTCTGCTCTGGAAAACGAGGGAAAAAAAGACCCTGGGGGAAATTCTAGAATATTTCATTCTGGACTGCATTCAGCAAGGAACTTAACATCTCTAACTTTAAAAAGAGAGCTTAGTTGACTTCAGTGGGATTAGGGATATGTTGAATGGGGATCTTTGTATGCAACTATTGTCCAATTGATCATCTCATCCTCTGCTTAATCTGTTGAACCTGTGGGAGTTTCTAGTACCCATGTTCTTTTTCCTCATCACAGCCAATACTGAGGCTAAGAAAGGAGACAAACTGCTCTGTGCAGGGCCTTCTGGTATGATAAGGAATGTGAAAATGTCCTTTGGCCTCTTCACTCTTCCCCTGGTTAAAATTAATATTTGTTTAATTTTAATATGTTGGGATAGATTTGGACAGTGCATAAGTGGGAATTTTGCTTGTCAGCACGGGGGGAGTCAGGACCAGTAAGTATCATGTGTAAGGAATTCCTAGAAGACTGTTCTGTAGAAATAATCATGAACAATAATGAATATTGCCTGACTAGTTTTCCACAATAAAATATACCCAGTTTAATCAAATAATGCTGTTTTTAGTGAACATCTGCTATTTTTAATGCTCTTCTTGGGAGAAGAGAAAAACCTATATAAATCAAGAACAATAAATATTATTGTGTTATAATATGGTTTAGACATATGTTGGGATTAAAACAATAACCACAGGCTGGTACTACAGGAATCTTTCTATAGACCATTAGAATGTAGCATTGTTCTTCAATATTCTTCATTACAGTAATACACTTTTTATTCAATAAATAAACATCTAGGACAAGCAAAAAGTTCATTTTTCACAGGTTTTGGAAAAATTAAGTTAGATGAGCTAATGCAATGTTATGGTAATACAATGAATGTGTGTTACTTTTTAGCCTTTGTAAAATGTTTTCAGTTAGAAATTACTGTCATTAAAATATGACAGGTGGTTTTTTTGTTTTTGTTTTTTGACCAAGGGGAAACTCTGGTAAATTGTGGTGTTGTCATTACAGTATTTTCTCACCGGTGTTTTGGGAAATATTAGATGCCACAACTTTGGAGTTTTGTTTCCAGATCTGGCTGCCACGTTTCTCCAATTTCCCCCCATCTTTCCTGAAAGTCCATAACAGAGCAACAGAAATGATTAAGTCTAGAAAACATGGCTTATGACAGATTGAAAGAACTGGGGTTGTTTAGTCTGGAAAGTGTTACAAAAAGGAGGGAGAAAAAATATTTTCCTAAACCTCTGATAGGGCAAGAAGTAATGGGCCTAAATTACATCAAGGGAGGTTTAGTTTGGACATTAGGAAAAACTTCTTAACTGTCACGATGGTTAAGTACTAGAATAAAATGCCTGGGGAGGTTGTGGAATCTCCATAATTTTTTAAGAGTAGATTAGACAAACACCTGACGAGGATGGTCTAGATCAGAGCTATTCAACTTTGGAAGCCCCGAGGGCCGCAACTTAAGTATACTTTCAAATATGTATGCAATTAGCTTCTTTCACACTGCCGGGCATGAATACAAAGATTAAGGAAAGACTACAAAACACCCAGACCCCATTTAAGTCAGTTCTGCTGATATTAATAAAATGCAATATTTACCTGATTTCCACCCATATGACAGCCCTTTTAATGAGCAATTACAGTGCAGGAATTTAACTACTAAAACACATATCAACAGAAAGCCGTTGTATTGACTACTTTTTTGTTTGGGCTCCCACCTGCGGGCCACGTGTTGAGCCCCATGTAACTCCAAACCATACCGTGGGCCACAAACAAATGGGCCACAGGCCTCATGAAGCCCACGGGCCGTGTTTTGAGTAGCCCTGGTCTTGATGGTGCTTTGTCCTGCCATTAGTGCAGAGGACTGGACTTGATGTCCTCTTGAGGTCCCTTCCAGTTCTATGATTCTATCTCCTGTTTTGAATTTAGAACAGTCACATAGCTGGATACCTGCTGATTAACATAGTATCAGAGAACTTACTATGTTTCTGATAAACCTCAAAAGAGAGAGCTTTTTTAAATTTTCTTCTTTTGTGTTATTGGCTCATGATGAAACACTATTTTTTCCTAATTTAATTCACTTCCTCAATTTAAATTGTCATGTTGGGGTTTCATTTGTCCCCCTCCCTCTGGCACACCTAGGCAAATAAAGATTCTCCAAGTCCTTTCTTTTTGGCTGGTAAGATTGCATGCTACATGTTTGAATTTGTGCATTTTTTCTTTGAACTTTTATAATATATAAAACAAAAGACAGAACTATGTAGCACTTTAGCTCAATTGTGAAACAAAAAGGAAAATTGATGACAATGTGCATAATAGATAGACTAATTCTATTTTTTACAGAAACTAATAAGCTATATTATACTTGTGTCATTTCAGTTTGAGAAACTTCTTTTCAATATTTTTTTTCTTTGAGCCGTTGGAGGAGGGGTGTCTGTCTTGTACAGCTATCTTTAACCAACTTCCTACTAGTTTTCACCAGTCTCTAAATAATGTTTAATATGATAGTTCCATGGGTGGCAAGTGAAGATCCAATTGGGAAAAGCAGCTGAAACCCTGCCCTTTCTGCCCAAAGCCATACCCCTTCTCTGAGACCATGCCCCTTCACAACCTTTCCACTCATTTCCCCCCCCCCCCAGCAAAGCCCCACCCCACTCCAGCTGAGGGCTGGGGCTGCTGCGTGGCATGACCCCAGCCTTTCCCAGCCATTGGGGAGCTAGGCTGTGACATGGTACAGCCCCAGCCTTCCCCAGCTGTTGGGAAGCTAGGCTATTTGCAGTGTGGCCCTAGCCTACCCCGGCTGTTGGGGACCCAGGCTGCTGCATTGCGTGGCCCTCACTGTCCTCAGCTGTCGGAGAGCTGGGCTGCCATGTGGCATAGCCCCAGCCTTCATGGGCCACCAGGAGCTGGGCTTCCTCACAGCCCCAGTCTTCCTGAGTTGCCGGGGACACGAGCCCAGTCTTCCCAGGCGACCGGAGAGCTGGGCTGACACCCTCCCAGGCAGCGGGACAGTGTATGCAATTTTGGAAATGTAGTGCCTTCCCTTTCCTACATTACCAGCCATCCATGCATAATAGTTCAAATTATTGATAACTAACCCTTAATTTTTTGCATATCAATGTAATATACTTTGTGAACAATTTAGTTGGGGTTGTTGAATACAATAGCAAAATGGCTAAATGCTATTTAAACCTGGCAGTGTGTATTCAGAAGATATTGATGCAAATACACTCAGAATATTCTGGATCGGGTTTTTTTCAAAGCAATATAAGGAGGCAGAGGCCCAATTCCTTGTATGTAATGCTCTTAAGCTCTTCCATAGATCACAGCCTTTTCCTATTATAGAATATAATATAAAAATTGTTATGAATAAAAATCACCTGCTCTATATTGAGTCCTGATTCTCCTTTGTTCTGTAGGGCCACTATAATTCCTGGACAAAAACTAAATTAACAGGGGCTAAGATTGAGAGAACATTTGAATAATTCAGTGTAAAAACATATTGTAATTTATTCCCCAAACCCTATAAAAACATGAAATTCTGACCTTTGATTTCTTATGTTTGATCTCACACATGAAGGTACAGAAACGAACAATTAAGGTGTTTGACATGATGGAATAACTTCATAAATAGTAATACACCTGTTGTGTAGATCAGAGTAAACTGATTAATGCAGAGTACACATTTGATTTTTTTTTAATCTCTCCCCACTTTTCAATTCCCACTGCATGGCAGAGTTATGGTTGTGAATATGTCCAAACTCTGTTTCCATATCTTGAAAGAAAACCCCAACATGTTAACCTTAACTCTGAATACCCTGGTTTTGTAATGCTTCTTTTTGGCACAGTTCGAATATCACTGTATTTTTAATGATATATGTATTATACATACTTAAAGCCTTGTCTCAATAGTTTGACAATGATTTAGAAATAATGTAAACACCAGGCCAGCTGGGTAACCTGGAGCAGTTCCCAAGGACTATTTGGGGGTTACAAGATACATTTTAGCATGGGCTTGCTTCAGTTTAAATTCTGAAGATGTTTAGCCAGAAGGTTTTGTTTGCACGTATTAGTATATGTAACAATGGAACGGAATTTAGTGGAACTTTGAGCCTGATCCTGCACTCTTTTCTTAGCAAATATTACTAATAGCTTGGCAGTTTCTTTCTGCAAAACTGCAGTTGATCATTTAACAGCCAGGACAACAATTGGGAATTTACTCTTTTACATGAGGTCATTCTATGTACATAAATCAGCTGCGGATATGGAAAACAGAAGGGTGTGACAGAAGAAAAACAAAGGAGATGCCTAAGCAGAGGTCTATTTCTTCTCCCAGTGAACAGCTCAGAAGTCATTAGGAGGAACCCTTTTGTGGTAAGTTTATAGTGAGTGAATTTATTTTTCAGCTATATTCATAGTGCTAGTTGTAAACAAATGGTACATATTTTATCTAAGTTTTATTTTCTTGTTTTTCTGCTTTTTGTTGAACTCATGTTGGTTTTTTTTGAGTTCCTCTGCATTCATCTTTCTTTTTGATGTGGGAGGAGGAGAGGTGCTTGGCAAAGGATGTGTTCAATCTAGGTTTGGTTTTGTTTTGCAGATACTGTATCAACTTTTAGGAATTACATTGCTATAAGAGAAGAGTAAGAAGAAGGAATTAATGATTTTCCTTCTCCTCCTCTTTCTCCTTTCCCCAGCTGGGCCTGAAGGATTATAAACTGAGGCAGGTAAGTTTGCAGTTCCTTGACTTGATTTATTTTTCATTTGATGTGAGGATTGTGCGCTATCTGTATTGTAAAAGTACTGTCTGGACATGTGTGGATGAAACAGAGTATTGATCATAATTAGATAATGGGATTGTGAGTGTGAAAAGTAAAAATATTAAAGTAATACTGTATCTTTTTTTCTCCTATAGATCTTGCATATGATGATGTCATCCAATTTTACTTGCCTGGCTCCTCTCAGAAAATAGGAAGATGTGAGAGTCTTAAGAGGATGGCTACAGAGGGGTTAAATTGCACTTCATCGTCCCTCTAGAAATACTTCCTCACATTGTAAACCAATCTAAAGTAAACAGTAACATCCATAATTATAACAAGTGTGTTAAAATAAATGTATTTAACTTACACGGTGTTCTTTAAATATGTGTATATATGTAAATAAATAAATAAATAAATAAATATGCAAGTGTAAAAAAGCTTTTGTATATTAATGTAAATGCCACATGCCCCATGCAATAATTTCCCTTCAAAAAGCCAGATTATAATTAAATATGTGACAGAGTTACACTGTGTAGGAGATGTGCCTGAGTTAGCCCTAACACATGGTAGGGAACATAGTGGCAATAAATTAAAAAAAGAACATTTCAATATGTCCTTTTCATGATCTTTAAATGAAACATATAGATATCAATTTGTATTTTGTTTATTCCAAGGTGCTTGACAGACCATATTCTTAATAAACAAAAACTAGTCTGATAGCACTTTATAGACTAACAAAACATGTAGATGGTATCATGAGCTTTCGTGGGCACAGCCCACTTCAGATGACTGGAGTTTTGAGTTTAGGATGTGCAGACCCAAAATAAATATGGGAAAGGGAAAAAAGGAGCAGAGGTTATGAAAAAATCAAAGGGAAAAACAGGAAGGCAGAATGGCCATCAGTAAGCACCTGAAGATTGGCCAGTTAAAACAAAGCAGATAAGGATCAAAGTCAATGGGGGGGGGGGGGGCTTCCCAAGACACAAAGAGCTGTTTGCACCTTCATTGAATGTTAGGTTGGTAATGGCACAGTCATCCCTCATCCTCGTTGAGCCCATTAGCATGAGAATTGAACTTGCAGATGAACTGTACTTCTAACACTTCTCTGTGTATTTGGCTGGTAGAGATTGTTTGTGACAAGATGGCCACTTGGAGATCTTTTAAAGAGTGATTGGGTAGACTGAAGTGCTGTCCAACAGGTTTCTGTATGTTCCCTTTACATATATCTGACTTATGTCCATTGATTCTTTCTCGTAGGGACTGTCCAGTCTGTCCATAGCAGTGGGGCATTGCTGGCCAATCTTAACTAACCAATATTCAGGTGCTTACTGATGGCCATTCTGCCTTCCTGTTTTTCCCTTTGATTTTTTTTCATAACCTCTGCTCCTTGTTTCCTGCCACCCCTCCTTTTACTTTCTTCCCCCTTCTCCTCTATTTATTTTGAGTCTGCACATCCTAAACTCAAAACTCCAGTCATCTGAAGAAGTGATCTGTGATACAAAGCTCATGATACCATTTACATATTTTGTTAGTGCATAAAGTGCTGCCAGACCAGTTTTTGTTTAAGTTTATCCTGTACAGACTAACTCTGCTACCCCCTGCATATTCTTAATTTTGATCTTGTTTATGTTGAATTTTACACTAGTAATTCCACTGGTTGTTAATTTCTTCCATTAGTGTAGGGCAGGAGTATGAGGGGAATCAGGCCTTAAATCAACAAAGATCACTTCACCAACCACTTTAATGCAGCTTCCTAAATAACAGCATGTTGTGATATCAACTAATAAAAAACATGAAATGTATTTTGAAGGGAGTTTTCAACACCCTGAGATGTTGGCAATTTCTGAAGTGGGTTTTGGTTCAAAGGAGCATTGTAGATATTCCTGGGATGTTAGTCAGTTTGCAAAACCAGGTAAAAGACTAGCTCATTAAAAAGGAGGTAAGAGAGTAAAGTATATGGGCTCAGAAAATCTGTTTAGATTCTATGGAGAGAGTCCATAAAGAGATATTATGTTTGCAGCATTAGAAATTTGGAAAGCTTACATCAGGTAACATTTAATAGATTCTAACTTTTGGCTTGTTCTTTACACAGTTTAAAATATTCTACCTTCCTAATATTGGAACTTAATTTTTGCAATAAAGTGATACTTAGAACTCTCATTTATTTCTTTTTAAATGGGAGTTCCTTAAATGTACTGTACAGTTCAAAGCCTACTGTTTAGAATAAAGTTTCAAATTAATTGTTCATGATTTTTTTTCTACTGGAAAAATGTTGATTCCACCCCTTCTTCTAGTGTTTTGACTTGAACTGAATTTAACATGAGGAAATCATGTGTATTTAATTTAATCTTATATGGGGTCTTGTGCCAAAAAATCTTTATGCATTTCATTAGCTTTACTAATTGGTGTCTGCACACCTCTGGGAATAAATGTTGTTAGTTAACTGCAATTTCAGAGCCAAGGGCAACATAACTACTCTCTTTTTTTTTTTTTTATAAGAGCTACTAAAGAAGTAGCTGTTTTTTGTCAATAATGATGTCATGCAGGATGTAATAAATCGGTGGCCTTTCGAATATACAGTAGTAATCCATTTAAAAAAGATTATACCCACAGCTTGTGTAAATTGCTGTGTTTACACAGGTTGAAGATCTGGCCTGTAAGAGTAGGTGATGTGTCTATTAGAAACCGGTGAAGGAGATAGGACACTGGTTCATGAGCTGAATTTAGGTGCTAATATGAAGGTCATAGGTCAACTGTTCCAAGGCAGATGCTGTAAGCTGCACGAGGTATGCCACTGTGCTTAAAGTGATTATGACTGGCCTTGTCCAAAACTATAAAAAGCTGAGTAGAAGTATGTGAAGAATAAAACATTCCAGGCAGTGATCAAAGAAAGACAATTTGTACTTGGCTACAGAGACTAAACAAATTCATATTGATAAAGCTGGTTATGTACAATGGGATAGTTACAAGAAATAATAGAATATCCATTGTGAAGTGCCTAAAGAGACTACCCCTGAAGTTTGAATATGGTGTGCATTATATGTGGATGTAATCAGGGTTCAAACTGAATGTGTATAAATGGGGAAGAAAGGGTGTTAGCCTACTCCAGGTCTTTTCATAACTTCAGAGCAGATACATGTTTCTGCAAAGATAAAGCTTTTAAGTTGTTAATAATGTCTATCTATTTTTTCATAACTAGGTTAATGAGTTAATGGGGCTAATTAATCTCTGGAGGTTTGACATCAAAATACAATGAAAATGTAAATTCCACACCAGTAATATTAGAACCAGTATTTTATTTCATTATTTCAAAAAGTGTTACAGATATCTAAAAATATTGCATCATTTAGTTTGTAAACTCTTCAGAGCGGAGATCATGCCTTTTGAAAAGCTGTTTCCAGAGTTTTGAAACTATCAGATATAATTTATTTATACTTGAAAGAGGTATTTATGGATATCTATATGATACAGATATGTACATTAAGGCAGAGAGAAGTTATGTAGTGAGCTCCAGGCCAAAGTCACAAGTTACAGTGGCAGAGTGAGGGGGGGAACCCCATAGGAACGGTGATTCCCAATCCCTTCCTATGACTTCTATACTATGTTGGATAAACTTCTTTAGAAATCTTATGGCAAGTTTTTACTGAGTACACAAAATTTTTCAGTGCTGCAAATATATTAACTGCTTCAAAAACTGACAGACCTGCCACATTTTGGAGATTTTTTTTCCCCTTATTACAGCTAGGAAGTCTTCAGCAGACTCTGTTCCAAAGATAATGGCTCTTATTAAATCAGACTCGGCAAATGCAAGTCTCCATGGTAACATGTAGATTTGTGTGCCAAGATCTGTTCTTGTAAGTCAGACTTATCAGCCCACAAGTAGTTTCACTGTTGTATAGAAATGGAGTCTTTGTCTTGTAATGAGAAGGAAAAAATAATATAATGAATTGTGTTTGCAGTTCTCTTGTGCTGGCATGTGTCATATGTATTTGCATCTTTTTTGCACTGAAGATATTACAGGTATATGTTTGATAGCAAAAAGTACTTTGAAGACATTTTAAATCAATGTTTGGAGTCAGTAAGAGACAGAGGCTTGAAAAGCTGCTAGTGGATTGAACCTTCTAGAAACATTGTTGATTACATATTGTGATGGCTACCTATATTCCTAAGGGGGAAGAGAATATTTTCCCATCAGTGCACAGATTATATGAATCTTCTACTCACATGCTGAGATTTGTAACTAGCAAACATTACTTACACTACTGTGCAGAAATGATAGGATAGAATGTAATCACTTAGGATATGTCTACACTTCTGTAAAACTTTGTAATTTTATCTGTTGCAGCCTTGTTTCGACTTGTGAGGTTCAGACTGCTGGATGTAAAATGGTAACGTAAATAGTCAGGTTCAGACAAAGACTCTAGGGGTCTGTCTGCATTGCATTGCATTCCTCTGTCGAGAGAGGAATGCAAATGCAGACAAACAAAATTGCAAATGAAGCGTGGATTTGAATTTCCCATGCTTCATTTGGATAATCATGTTATGGCGCTCTTTCAAAAAAGCACTATTTCAAAAGTGAACCATGGTCTAGACGCAGTTATTTCTCAAACAGCAGGCTTTTTTGCAAGATTGTGTACTCCTAAAAAAATGAGTAAAGGATCTTTCGAAAGCTTGCCATTTGAGCCCTGCGTAAACCAAAACCATACCACAGGCTGTGTTGCGTACCCCTGTTCTAGACCATCCTTGACAGATTTAACCTATTTAACTTGCTTTTGAATATCTCCAGTGATGGAGATTCTACAACCTCCCTAGACAATTTATTTCAGTGTTAATCACTCTGACAGTTAGGAAGTTTTTCCTAATGTCCAGCCTAAACTTCCCTTGCTGCAACTTAAGCCCATTGCTTCTTGTCCTAGCCTCTGAGGCCAAGGAGAACAATTTTTCTTCCGCCTCCTTGTAACACCCTTTTAGATACTTGAAAACAGGTATCCTGTCCCCTCTGTCTTTCTTTTTTCTAAACTAAACAAGCCCTGTTCTTTCATTCTTCCCTCATAGGTCATGCTTTCTAGACCTTTAATCATTTTTGTTGCTCTGCTCTGGACCTTCTCCAATTTCTCCACATATTTCTTGAAATGTGGTGCCCAGAAATGGACACAATACTCCAATTGAGGCCTAATCAACACAGAGTAGAGTAAAAGAATTACTTTTTATGTCTTGTTGATATATCCTAGAATCCTGTTTGCTTTTTTTGCCACAGTGTCACACTGACTCTCATTTAGCTTGTGGCCCACTATGACCCTTAGATAACTTTCTGCAGTACTTCTTTGGACAATCACTTCCCGTTTTGCATGTGTCAA